GTCACAACAAAATTCAAGCTAACGAGTCAAGTCAAGGAATTTTCTCGACTCGTTAGCTTGAATTTTGTTGTGACGATGATACCCTCCTTGCTCTGATGATGTCCTTCACGTGACGGACTAAAGCTTAGCACCTTTTCACCGGAATCGAACGAGATTGCCTCTGAAACAGCGTCAGCATGAATCTTCCACTAAAGCCAATCGGCAGCTGGTCAAGAGGAATCGGCCGTCGTCTTCTGTTGGAACCGACCTTGGAATCTTTTCGCGCCCAACACTTCCACTCGACAATTATGAAACAAGAGATTCCTCGAAACCCAACGTTTCTTCGTATTAGTCTTGTAGACGCATGGGCATAAAGTGGCCAGCAAGGATGAGGGAATAACTCACTCCAGTCATCATGGCATGGGGAGAATGCATAAAGTAGCCGGAATTGCCCACATAAGAGCTGTTTCCGACAAGCCCAGCACCGGTCAGACCGCCACCGAGACTGCCGCTGCCCGATCCCAGACTGGCACCGCTCAGCACGGCGGCCACGCCACCCGCAGAAGCGCCGCCGATACCACCGCCCGTGGTGCTACCAACCACGGCACCGACTATGCTGGCTGCCGAAAGGGTGGAATAGCGAGGCGGCGTCTGATCCAGACAGAGTTGGCGGTCACAGGCGGCGGGAGAGTAGGAAAAGAGGAGAGTGTTGGCAAGTCGGTCGCCTTCATAAATTGCTCGGCGGTAGTTGTCGAACAGACGAAGGCCACTCTCCGACTCGAAGCGGAATTGGCCCTTTGCAGGTGAGAGGTAGGAAGGTATCAAAGCTGGTCTATCATAACAACACAATTGCTACGGGAATTGTAAAATAAACGTGAATTTCTTAAGATTATTGTTAAAGAAATATCCCATCTCACTGCATACGTGATGCCAATCCGTATTCTCCCTCTTGATCTGTAGAATCCGTCTGCTCTCTCTCACTTAAGGCTTAAGACCCTTGAGTAATTGTCATAGTCGAGCTTTGCTTCATGGACCACGTCTCTGGTAAAACAAGCCTATTCTCAGCCAACTAGCTCTAGTCTCCGCCACGAATATCCTGCTTCCATCCCTAACACCAAGTCTACCACTTCCTATGCCCTAGTCTTTTGTGTGTCAACCCACAAATGTTGTAGTACTGCTTGTTTTGAATAGATGCAATGTTGAACCACAACATTTGTGGCTTGGCACACATTTGGTCAAAGGATCAACTTCATTTGTCTCTTTGACGAGTAGTTGAATGGTGCTAAGAATGGCGAGACTCACTGAAGATGCCGGCGAAACGTCTGTGAATGTACCACGTCCACGGTGCTACTCTGGAAATGATGATGCATACAATGGACTCCGGACAAGGTGCGTTCCTCTAAGTCTTCCTATCAAAATTACCAATTTGCTAAAACGAGGTCAAACAACTTGTATACAACGAAAGGAGACTGCGACCACACAAAAGGCCACACCATCTTGGTCTTCATATCTTTTTACATAAATCAAGTTTAGCAGTTATTCTGATCGAATTTTCATTAAAGTTCACCTGCTGCGTATAGCATACAAGGCATCGTAATGAGAAAAAACTAAAGTAATTTCTGATCAAATTTGTGGAGAATCAAAGAATATAAATATAAAGCTTGTAACATATCTTTTTATCATAGCCAAGATGATTATCAAGAAATGGAAGTGGAAGTGGCTGGAAGACCAGCCGACAACGAGACTGAAATGCTACCAAGAGCTTTGGAGACTCCCATTTTTCATTAAAGTGCATGATGAGAAGATTGGTAGATCGTTCTCATAAGAAGACGAGGGCTGATTCCCGTTGTTCTGCAGTCATTTATCTGTAGCTTATTATTTTCAGTTAAGCAGCGTAAAAGAAATATAATGTGCTGGTGACTAGGGAAGATGGTAAGTTAGGCAGAGATGTTCTGAATTTTCTTTCTAACAATGGCTACAAAACTAAGGTTGCAATTTTATAGTCAATAATTATTTGGAGTATGGAACTTGCTGATATAAATCGTGTTACTGAAGAGTTACGTATATTTCTTATAAGTAATTATACTTTAGACTTGATTGATAATAAAACCTCTTTGATGAAGAATACATTTTCAAGGGAGATGGACAAACTGAAAACTTTTCTAGTGTCCTAATTTTGCCGTCATGCCCTCCTTTTAAGAAGATAGACAAAGTAGTGAGAAGGTGGGAGTAAAAAAGAAGTCTAAAGAAACAGAAGACCCATTAACAAGATCCGGCTGTTATAATATTCGGTGCTCCGGTAGTTGACCTTATGTTGGTGAGGCCCGTCGGCCTGTTCGAGCAAGATTAATGGAACACAAAATTGCTTATAAAAGCATTTTGTTTGAACAATGAAAAGTAGCTAAAGAGAGAAGCCTTGACACGAGATGGACTTTTATCAAACACAAACGCTTGTTGGTTACGATTCATCTTCTGCTAAAAAAAAATAAGCGAGGCTATTGAAATTAATATATTTGGGAATACGTTGATTCTGAGGAACGGTGGTAGAAAGTTGAGTAAGAATAACTTATGCTAGATGGAAATATTGAAAGGGAGAGAATATTGAGCCACCGTCCAAAATCAGACGACTCAACTTGTCAACCGAGTGATGCTTTTAACCGAATTCACACTCTTTCAAAAGTCATGTTAAGCTCATTAACCAAAAAATATTAGGTAATCTCAGTCATGCTTTGCCCTGGGACATTGAACTGTGATGACATTAAACTAACAGATTATGACTGGTAGCTACAGAACCTGACTTATACGCGTACAGGCTCACATATTAGCTCAACCAGAGGTATTTACATGCTTATGCAAACGCAGTCATGTTCTTCCTTGGGCCATAGACCTTGATTACCCAGAGCTGACGTTAGGCTCTCTTGTAATTACTTGCAATTACTCTGATTCTGATATATATTGCGTAAATGCAGGCAGTACACAAGAGTATAAAAGAAATAGACAAACCCCTCTATATCTATCTACATATAAATATTTTTTTGTCATGAGTATACACAGCATGTATGATAGAGCTAGTTAGTCTCCTTGACTTGGCGTTGATTTCAGACTTTTGCAAAAATATGTCCCAGCTCTGATGATGTGCAGCAAGTGACACACGAAAGCTCAGCCCGTTATTGCCCGAAACGAGGGAGAACGTCTCGCGGACTGCGTCATCGTGAACTTTGTATTAAAGCCAAAAGAATGCAGTACAACGCTAATCAGCCGTCGTTTTCTCGTGATTCACTTTCAAGCGAAATTAAAGTCT